ATTAGTATGATTTTTTAACAAAATGTTAACAGAGTTAAAGGTGTGTTACAAACAGATCGATCCATCGAAAGGGAGAGAGGAGAGAGGAGAGAAGAGGGAAGAGAAGTAAATATCTACATTTAATTGATTAATAATGTTGTCTACTTATTTATTTAATTATCCATTGTTCGATAGTAATACAAGTGTAATTGAACATTAGAGTAGTTTAGTTATGAACTAAGGTTGTTGGGAATTTTCAAGATTTAGCATGAGCGGTGGCCAGGTAGGGTAGGTAGGGTAGGTAGGTTAAGTGTTGTTATGAATTATTGATGAGATTGCAGCGAACTCTTTGTATTTCAAATTCCCTATTCCGACATAGTGCGCCATTCTCAGTGGAACTTAATGAACCATTCTTTACGATATGCATGTTTATTATGATTACTTGTATTTAGTAACGAAAACTTGGATAATACCAAAAAATTGATAAACCCTTTTTATTACACTTATTTACACAATTTGGTTGGAACCTTGGAACTAAGACTGGGTTCTGAGTTTCAGTACTAGAAGTAGATTTCGTTTCTATAATCTTGAAGGAATGACTTAGGGCCTATCCCACCATTGGCTGATAGAAGCTCAAATAGCTTAAAAATGAAGTCACTATCAGATAACGGAACAAAATCCGATATTTTACACGTTGGATTGTTATTAGACAATTTAGAATTTGGTGAGACAGGCCCTATGTGCAATTTTTAGTGCAAATGAAAAGTAGTTAGGGTCATAAGGCAATGCTTAGGGGGCCCTAAAGTTGTGTAAATGTATACATATTCATACACCTGACTGTACATGTCAGGTATTGGAAACTAAAAGTCCAAACATATTCATATGGTAACAAAACGTTGGTAGAATCGATAACAATAATGTAGCAGCATTTTGCAGCACGGCATTACCCGCCCGTTGGCTGTCTATCAAATAAAAAAGTTATTAACCTACTTCCAGGTGTAATCCGATGCACCACACGAGAATTAAAAACTAAACAGCCACCGACCATCGAAACTTTATGCCCCTACCAACTGAAACAGTTGTACATAATAGTTTGTGTTGTGAAAAAAGTTTTTATGGAATATGAATCCTGTGGTTGACATCGAATTATATTATATAATAGTACAAATGACGCATAACATTTTATTAATTCATTAATGTTTGTTTTCGTGTTTGTGTCAAGGTTATTTTATTCTCAGTTTGTGTCCTTTACAAGTCACGCCTTTTTATAATTTACTGTGTTGTTTGTAACACGGAATGTAGGAATTTGGAAAGAATTATTTTAGGGTTAGGCTCTAACGAGTAGATACTTGTAGAATTTAACTGTTTATCTGTCAATAATTTTATCGTAAACGAAAACCCATAGTGACAGATATCTTTCAACATAGAATTCGTGTTTAGGAAGCGCACCCATCAACTATCAACCTTCGTTGCCATTTTCGACATCCTTAAACCATAATAACTGTAATGATTCTACCATTAATTAATGTTGTGTAGATTTCGAATTCCATCGATATCTGTCCCGGATTCCCATATGAGATAACCTAGTTAAGGGACAAGGAACCACACCTTATAGTAGTTTTACACGAGGACAGAACAGTAGACGCGGTAGTCCCATTGTGGCGTACAACGTCGAATTCACAATACTGTTTCAACGGTGTGTGTTCAAACAATAGCATTACTAGTATACTATTCCGTCCTTGTGCGAAAGCATTAGTCTATAAAAGAACATGTGGAATATATATTAGATTCCTTAGACTACGTAATGAATAATTCATTATGAGACTCTAACTGCATAATCAGAAAGCCATATTCTAGGAAAGGCGCATCGGCCGCGGTTACTGCCACCACGAATTTTTAATGAGTACTGGCCCTAATGTCTACCTTAATTACAACCTCGTCTACCACGTAAGGACATCCTTTTAAAATAAAAGAAGGTGTCTTGATGTTGGTACTGTTTGGTAATATAAACAGACTTCTTCGAACAGTAAAAGTAATTCTCAGCAGTGTAAATGAAAAAATCTTTAATATAACGAAATATAATAATACATCAAAAAACATCTCTTAATAAATTTAGAATATTCTGCTTAATTTTTTTTTTCATTAAAATTCTAATTAAAAAAATCTTTAATTATACACTACAATTTTAATCTTACTTTGGTTTATGATCTTATGTAAGTAATAATTGAAGTTAATTAACTTTCTAAGAAGAAACTCTTAGCTAGACCTTTTTAAAATTGTGTTCATTTTGTTATCGACATCTTTAGAAACTTTTGACATTTTAATTGAGTTTTTATTTCCACATAAACCGCATTTATTACTCTAGGAAATCTGTACTAATCATTTATAACAACCCCAGAGACACCAAATATCATCAATGGAAATCTGTATTAAAACGGACATACCTAAAAAATTATCTATCGTAAAATGATGCGGAAAAATCACAATACAAGTGCAATAAATGTATCTAAAATGACAGCTTCGGACAGCGGTTTTTTCCAATGCACGGCTTGCTATTGAAAATAGAGGTCGACGGTAACTGAAAAGGTGAAAACCTTTGACTTTAAAAGACAAGACCTGTAAAGCGCGCTCATAAGTTCATAAACGAATAAGTTCTAAATTTGCTGGATTGAGTTCTCGTTTTTATGACTAAATTTGTTAGACAGTAAATTTATAAAGATGTAAGTGTCCGAATATGGATATTTACTTTGTCTAAAAAGGAACTTGTCAGAATTTAAAACAACGACGAATCTGCCTAGTCCATTTTTGTATAGTCAATGTCGGTAACTGGAAAGGTATTGGTTATTTGTTCGGTTTGATGGAATCACGTAGCACTCCGTGTCCGAGGCCCGACAAGCTACTGTCACCTAATACAAGGATCCAACTGAACATAAATTGACACTCCAACTCAACCTCACAACTTTTATAAGCGGATATACAAATGTTTAGATTTTTTTCTTCTATAACTATCTTACTAATATTGTAAATGCGAAAGTTTAGATGGATGGATGGATGTTTGTTAGAGTTTGTAGCCTGCATGACAGAATGGATCTCGGCGAAATTTTGCATACACGTAGAGGAACCTCTGGAAGACGGAGTCGCGCGCGAAACCTAATTATTAATAAAAATAAAATAAGCACTTCATGATTAAATAAAAATATTATTCTTCACAAATTGCTTGTTATTTAATCAAAATCAAATCAATTTTAATTAAATTTGATCGATCTAAAGATCGCAATAGCTATCGGAAAACGCGATCTATTATGGGCAAACGAATTTTTGTATCATTTCATTTTCTAATCTATGATCGTATATTGGAAACGATCTTCAAGCATTGTAAGACTTAGAAAAGAAGCAAATTATACTTGGAATTATCATTACCACGACAACTTGTACGGATAGGCAATTTAAATCGATCTTTATATTGACGGCGTTAATATATTTCTGAGAATGTTAAAGGATCATAACTCGCACGTTCAAAGCACTCGACTTCGCCCTTCAATTTGTCTGTATTTTATTATTACTTTGCTGTTAGTGATGTAGGTGATATTCCGCAATATTTTTTAAAAAAATCCGTGTATTATACAATGCTGAGGATTTTAACGGTTTGAATGTACTTGGCTTATTAATTTTATTACCTAATTTATGTGTTATAGTTATTTGTTTTTAAATAATAATATTTAAAATTGACTAAAGTCAAATGATTGCAAGGCACTTAGTTTATGTCATGTTACTTTTTAGAGAATATAAATATTTTTTTTCTAGATTCTCGGAATGTTAATTTCGTGTTAAAAATTTAAAAGAAATTACTGTTGCGAGTTTTGTTATGAGAAAAGTTCTGGATGTAATTTTATATTAACTTGTTTATGCGGATAATGGTCGCTGTTTGTATCATGATAAAATTCTTTGTAACAAGTTAAATGCAATTTTAGAAAGATATTATTTTTAATGCTGTGATTTAACAATCATGAGTTTTAACTCTCAATATCACCATCACCAGCTCACTATACGTCCCCACCGAGGGGCTCGGAGCCTACCCTACTAAGTAAGGGGTGACCAGGCCTTAGTCAACCACGCTGGCCCAGTGCCGGTTGGTTTTCACACATATCTTTGAATTTCTTCACTGATATGCACAGGTTGCATCACGATGTTTTCCTTCACCGTAAGAAAGTCGGGTAAATTATGTACATATGAAAATTCGAAAAATCTAAAATCGCATTGGTACACGGCGGAATTCGAACCCAAGACCTGTAGATTACAAGTTAAGTGCTTAAACCACTGAGCCACCGACGCTCTCAATATTATCTATCTTTAATACGTGATAAGCGTGAGTTTCAAATTTTATTTCTATATAAAAGAGAATGAAAGGGATAACACATTTTTGTAAAAGAATTTGAGCAGTGAAAACCCACGGTAACCTCAAACACAAAGTTTTGTACTAAAACACTATAACATATAATTAATAATAACCAGTGGATTTACAAAAAAGCCAAAAAAAGAATAAAACAGCAAAAAAATTATAAAAAAAGCTAGTTAAGCAATCATTGCAGGTCGAGCATCGCATAGGAAAACAACGTAATGATCCAAAACTAGAGTCGTAACTACTTCAATGAACAGGCTGATTCGGGCACTGTACACTTCAATACGAAATTGATTCCTAGAGAGCAATTTAATTTGTGAACGGTACCGAAACCCTTGCCTACGATTTTATTGAGCACCGAATCTCTTATGAATTTAAATTGAACTTATTAACATATACTGGTTGTTATAGCGTTGTAAGGACTTACTGACTAGACGTTTTTGATTACAATTTTAAACAAATTACTGTTGAATAATGAATACAACGATACAAATCCTTGAATCCGTATTGTCTATATTTCAAGGGAAAGCTACAAAATCAATTGTCTATTGCCTTTTATAGCAAGTATTAATGATTGTTGTAAACCAATCAGATTATCACACTTGTTTTCTCTTTGTTTCAGGAAACCGAGGCCCATAATTCTGATGATGATGACGATAATTTGTGCAATGAATGTGCGATCAGCTGAAGTAACGTGCCCAAATGAATGTAACTGTCGTAATGCCTACGATACCGATTTGGGTCATGTTCTCCGCACAACTTGTACACGAGGCGACATGCACACTATACCTGTGGAGTTCTTCGATCGCAGCGGTGAAGTAATCATCATTTCAGCGCCAAAAGATCGACCTAATTACCTTACAATAGGACCCATATTCACACAACCTACTCCATTCGTCAACCTTCGTGAACTCCATATTGTAAATTCTAATGTCCCATCAATTGGACAGTACTCATTTTGGGGGCTTCAACATCTGAGGTTGATCAATCTCACCTATAACAACCTAACAAGTATAGGAGCTGACAACTTCAGAGGTCTGATTAATCTCACCGACCTCCATCTGGATCACAATAACATAGAACAAATGCCCAGTGAAACATTTCGGCATCTCACCGCATTAAAAACTCTGACTCTATCGTACAACCATATAACTACGTTGGTGCCACGCCTCTTTCGAATGCTAGCTAAGCTTACGTTTTTGGACTTAGGTGATAATCCATTAGACGATTTGAATCCTGAAGTGTTTAAAGACATACAACAGTTGAGAGTTTTCAAGTGCAGAAGATGCCTTCTGAGAAGGATCAATACTCAAATCTACCATTTAGTGGCTAATTTAGAAGAATTGGACTTGGGAGAAAATCAATTCAAATATCTCACTTCGGACGAGTATATCAGCCTTAAAAGGCTAAAAAAGTTACGATTGGATGGTAACCAACTGTCAGTTATAGTTGATAATATGTTCGGAAGAAACCGGGAGTTAAAACTTTTAGCTCTGGGTCACAATAGGCTGGCACTACTTGCACCAGCTGCTTTAGCGAACTTAACTTCCCTAGTACACTTGGACATTAGTCACAACAAAATCGATAGATTCCATTTGCAAACTTTTGCCCCAGTCGTAGAAACACTCAGAACTATAAATTTTAGCGGAAACAATCTACCTTTGGCCGAAATCGCCATCGTTCTACAAATTCTACCAGAAATACACGACGTGGGTTTGGCACATCTCTCCTTGGACGGCATACCACCCAATTTTTTCACATATAACGACCATATAGTGTCATTAGATTTATCTTGGAATAAATTAACCAAGTTTCCATTCAGGTTACTGGCAAAGGCAAAGTTCTTGCAGCGACTAGATTTGTCGCATAACAAAATCGAAAGGTTAGAAGAGGAAGACCTGCAAAGGCTAGAGGCGATAGCGCGAGTGGATTTGTCGAAGAATTTGTGGCGCTGCGACCAATGCTCCGCCGGCACCATGCTTGTGTACATGGCTACCACGGTGCTTAACGGGACTATCCGCCAACTTACTTGCTACTCGCCGCTGAGACTGCGTGGTATTAAATTCTCAGATTTGTCGTTTAACGTGTTGGAATCATGTTCGAGCAGCCATGAGGCGCAGATGAGCGTGCTGGCGGGGCTGCTGCTCCTGAGCGTGGCAGTGCTGGCGGCGGTGGCCGGCGCGCTGTGCTGCACGCGCCGCCGCGCCGCGCACTACTACACCAACGAGGAAAAGCGAAGGGAATGCGACCATGATCACCCTGATGAGCTGTTGAACCGCACCGAGGTCAACACCGTGGCCACCATCCACGCCCCCTACCAGCTCGTCTCTAAAACCAGCTAACAACGAGCCCAAGCGCCGCTCGTCAAACAGCGACCTCAACGTGTTACCTTTGATCTACCGATGCCATCTGCTTCCACTGACAATGAACCGAGTTCTAAAACCGATACGCCGCTAACTTACTTTCTAGCTCGTTCGACGTATTCCTCTTCTAAAGATGATATATGATATTACGACGAAGACGATTTGGTGTAAACCAAAGAACTGAAATGGACTGTTATTCGTAGGTTCGTGTTATTTATAATAACTTATTAATTTAAACTGATTTACTGTGTTTACTATAAGAAAAATATTTTTATATTATAGCGTTTTACATGTGTCCTAGATGTAATGTAATGTATACTTAACATTATAACCAACAGGTAGGTATGTAGAAATTCGTGAAAGACTTTTCTAAAAAGACTAGGTTAAGACTTTCTATTTTATGCTTTATCTGTATTTGGTGTATTATTTCAATCGTGTGCAAACTTTGTGTGGAATTGTTTAATAGTATTTATACGTTATTGTTATCCAAAATTAATCGATAAATATAACTTATATTCCATAACAATGTATAATAATATAACTACATTTTATTATAAGGGGCAAGTGATTAGGTCATCATGGATCTGAAGACCGTCTATCCCATCAATTCTGACACACCTGAGACGTATCTCACAACTTAGGATAAAGTATGTTCAGTTCGATCACGTACAATATCTACCACAAAAGAAATATTATGACCCAGTTACAATTTATTTTAAGATTGTAATGTCTTTAGTTATATATTTTGTTCGCAAAATATGAAATAACTTGTATTATGTGGGCATGGTCATTCACTCACCATCTAATACATCATCACACATCACTCATCACTCATCATTCATCATTCATCAAAGTATCTAGAAACAACAATTCTCATCACCACTTAAAAATAGTGATTAAACAGAAAAATGATTTTTACTTTCATTTGTTTTTTAACAAGCAACAACTAATCTCCGATCCGAGAGAGCGCGGTTTATTTTTTTGTTTGGAAGTTTGGCTTTCGTATGGAACAATTTCGCAAACAGCACTGATAAATTCTCGTTTTTTACACTTTTGGTATTGTATTGGTTATAGATTGGAAAGGAAATGAAAGTATTTTCTTCTGTCAATAAGTGCTATTTTATTCGATTTTTCATCGTGGTGTTTTATCGTTAAATGGTTTTTAAATTACTTATTAGTACTCAAATCCCGAAAACGATTTCTTCGTGAAAATTCAAAATAGCTTCTCTCTTTCTAATAATTACTTGAAATAAGACACCAAATATATCAATTATTTATGTTTATTTTATATCTGTAGTTATTGCTTTCGCATATAATTATCTCTTATTGTAGTTTACTATGTCTCGATATTTAAATTAAATGTTCGTCTATTTTTTGCAAATTATCATAAAATAGATATAGTGAAATAAATTAAATTAGTTATGGTAAGTACACACGATTGTAAACTGTACTATGTTGGACAACTAGTGTGTTTCAACCTTTATTATTGTAACTAGTATTAATCGTAATAATTTATAGTTACATTGGTCTCTAAGATCGATGATGTAAATATGTATGAATTTAAACATCTAAGTTATATCATAACTAAATAGGAATTTAAGGTCTTCTAGGTTTTAATATAGGTTATAGTACGACAAAGTTATCTGACCCGGTGACATGTCATCACTTTTGGAGCGGTTAGAAAATATAAAACCAATTTAGGTATAGGATGAGTCGTAACTACACTAGAGTAGGCTTCTTGTGACATTTTTTGACATAAAGGGCTAATAAGCGATTGTAATTTACCGCCGTATCACACTACTTCCAAATATCTAAGTACTCAAAAGCCACGATACAAATCTTCCTTTGATATTTCGACGTGCGTCATTCGATTTATTGATTCGTTTATTACACGGTTGTTATTTAGGGTCAGATAAGTTTGTCGATATTACATCCCCTTTCTATTTGTACTTGTTTTGTTCAAATTAATTATAACATGTTAATATTTTGAAAAAAGAAATGATTTATGTATTTATGAAATCTACGTTATGAATTTAAATTTTATGTATTTGTATTACAAAATTTTAAAATGTATAACATTTTATTTACGTTTTAATTGCTTTAATTATACTATTCTATAAATATTGATAAGCGATTTGATAATAAAATATATAAAAAATACCAAAAAAAGTAGTTCATAAGATAAAATACACCACACATAGGAATAAAAGTATGATAGAGTAATATAGTTTTTACTAGTATAGTAACTATTGTAAGTTTTTTATTATCTATTTATGGCACCTACGTAGACTATTGTAAGTCACAAATTTGCGATTTACACCTTGCTGTATGTGTAAAGTAATTCGATAACTATTTTCTATGTGATTTTAAAAGTAACCCTTGAAAGAAAAACAGTACATTCTGGCTGTCTTTCGTATATTCTTGTTGGTACCCTAGTGAATATTAATGTTTAAAGTTTAGTCGCCGAAGATGTGTGTTTTAAACTTAGAATAGTTTACGTAGGAGCCCTTTGGTACTTTTTGAATTCCTACCATTGGATGGAATTATTTTTTTCTGTTTCATTTATTAGTCTTTTTTTTTAATTCAATTTTATTACATGTAATTTTTCCATTTATTTTAACATAGCTTTTTCGCTGTAGATTAACTTTAAAAGTAAACTAGATACTATACAGGAATATGCTACTGACTTATTATTTTTCATATAACCGTATTTTTTAGTTCAAATATTTGATTACAAAAACAAAAAATGCGTTCAAAAATCTCACATTTTAATTTCAGTTGGAACAACGGAAAATCATAATTTACTACCGGCAACTATGCCACGTTATTTTAAAATGGCTAACATAATATCAATTTTGAAACTATGAATTCTATTATGTTGAAAATATCGCTTGGCATTAATTAAAGGCGAAATTGTATCCGTTAACAGATTGATTACCGCGATAATTTTGTATTGTGTTCTTTAAATTAATTTGCATTTATAACTTATTTTATATATTTTCCATTTAAAAACTGTAATGCAAGATTTAAGTATAGAGTTTAGATAGAATAACTAGTTCTAATATTAAGGTATAGTATTTTCCATAAACAATTGCTTCAATTTTTAGTTTTTTTTTTCGTGTCAAAAAGTTAAATTTTTAACCATAAGGCTCTTCGTACACAAGGAAACGTAAATGTTCACACGAGCCGTAACATTGAATCGTCGACATAAGTTGTTCACTACAGGCAAGTAATATGCATTTACAAAATGACAACTTTACGATTCCGATCCATTTGAAAAATCGCGACAACTGTTTTACCGACGTTCGTTTCAAAATGTCGGCGACGTGAGCCAGTCTACGAACTTCTATGACATTGCTTTGGAAATGTCGCTTATGAACTGAAGTTGCCGACTTTCGGAGGTTTACAACGCCTTGTGTATGAAGTGCTTAACAGTAAAAGTTATTTATATTACAATTATGAAAATAGAAATGATGTTACTTTTGGATTTAACCAATAACAAAATTTCTTTCTCGAAATGTTTTATTAATAAAAAAAAAACTTTCTTTTCATTTTTCCGAACGCATTTGTTTCTATTTTTTAGCATTTAATAAGTAAGTAAAGGTTTAAACAACAATTTAGAAAATAAGTTTAAGATAAGTATTAGCTTAGTGCACATGACTTAGACTCCTTTTCCACTGAAGCTACTATGGCCTCATGTGGCTGCTATGTCTATAACCTATAGCTATTTACACCTAGCGCGACGAAGTAGTTGCGTTTGTATTTGAAGTGCGTTTCCTACACGACAGACGCCGTAGCAGCAGGCGACGATACCATATGCTCTACAGCAATATTTGCAGCGAATTCTCCAGAATCGCTCCTATACGCGCGGCTACTTCCTCAGTGAAAAAGGGGTCTAAGCGCTTTAATTTAAGAATTGCGTGGGGTGTTCAATAAGTAATGAGACACCAGTGGTTTTAATTTTAAACTACAAGCTAATAAGATCAAAGAAGCAAGATTACTATTATAACATTTTTTCTTTCATAACTGCATTTCCTTGATGCATAAATGTATGTATGTGTGTGAATGTATCTCTATGTATGTGTGAAAGAGAGTGCAAGCGTGTGTGTGTGTTTTTACCTGCGTTAAAGAGTAGAGGTTTTTCTTCACCGCCCCGGCTTACTCTTACTCCTATCCTACAAAAAAGGACATGTACAAATCGACACCTAAGGAGGCAATCCCGAGAAAAAAAAATATTTTTGAACTTATGTTTGAAATAACATGCCCATTCTCTTTAGTTTTTGAACACCCTTGATAGAGTAAGTATAGTCGATTTTAATGGAAATGAGAAATTAAATTTACACATTTAACAAGCTCATAATATCGTTTATAGTCAAAGGACTTATTGACAAAAGTTTACTGTATTACCACAAATATCAGTCAGATACTGTTTAGTATATATGTGTTTTAACTCTTAGACTACCGCTGATTGATAATATGGACGTCAGCGTAAGTCTTACAATAAATATGTATCTTCACCCTGCTTTCAGTATAAATACTTTATTATTGATTATTATAGATCACAAACCAACGTCAACTAATGTTCCGATAATCATGATTTGTAAAATCTGCGTGGGCAAAAAAACTGTAAAAATATACGTAGCATACATGCCACATTTACTGCGGCAAGTAAAATCATAATTCTTTACCTGGTGCGGCGTCGGGCCATACTGTGCCCCCAATGATATCTCCGTCAGTGAATGGCAGGTCTTTTTAGACCCACCAGCACAAGGGTAGATTAAATTACTATGACTTTTTGGAAACATAATGTATAATGTAATTTATACACCTAAAATAATAGTTTCGCACTATCAAGAGGGACATAGTTTTCTTCTTCTGCACCAGCTTAAGTACCGCGTCAGGCCGATATCGGCCTGTTACACAGTGATCGTGTTAATATCTAAGTTGTTTGGTTAGTGTTTTAGTATTTAACTTGATGATATATATCATAATCATTTCTTTTTTGCTATGTGATAAATTTTATAAATGTTTGATTTTCCGTTTTTTTTTTTTAAAATTCTCATTTCTATTGAATTTGACATTAGGGTAAGTAGATTAGGTGTTGCTAACAAAGTCATTTCGTAAAAAGCGTTTTAAATCCCTGGTTTTGTTTTATTTTTTTAAACTTTAGTTTAACGTTAGTAA